TTTTTTCCCGACTTTGTCGTCACAGTTCTTTGGCTGGTCTGTGTATCTTAAGGTTTCTAGTGGCTTTCCAGGTGATGGGCCCTGATGGCTTGATAATATGCATGCACTAACAGAATGGTTCTGCTTTTGGTGGCAGGTGGAGATGCTGAAGGGAAAGTGCGTGAATTGACATGGAAAAGGAGATTGCAAGTAATCCTGGATGTAGCAAGGGGCCTCGAGCGGGTTTCTTTTCATTTCTTCTTTGATGTCGTTTATGATGTCTTGGTTTTCCATTATGGGCGGCAGCCGAAGAATGGATAGTCGAAAAGAGTTCCCCTGTGGCACGTAAACGAAAGAGGAGCGCCCATTTCTGATCTTTTTCTTTTTCGATTTTTATTCTTTGTTGGAGTAAACAGGGATATTGCTGCTATCATTCCTCACCCAGCTGTTAAACGGCGCCAATTTTGCGATTTTGCTTCCCATTTTAATCGGAGATTTTATGCGTAAACCACAAGTGATGGTTGTTGCACTTTTTTGTGACTTCTGTGTGACATAAACAACTCCACATCTGGGCTTCTACATTTCATTCTGAGGTCCACCGTGTCTCATTTTTTTATGCTTTTTAAAAATAAAAATAAAAAATTATTTTTTCTTTTCTCTTTTTTTTTTCCTTTTTCTTTTCTCTTTTTTTTCTTTTTTCTTTTTTCTTATTTCTTGTTTCTTGTTTCTTGTTTCTTGTTTCTTGTTTCTTTCTTTTTAATCTTTTAGGGTGCAGTGTACCCTATCACAAAGTACTCCACATTTGGGCTGCTAAATTTCATTCTGAGGTCCACTTTCTCTTTTTTTCAATTTTCAGTTTTCTTTTTTCTTTTTTCTTTTTTTTTATTTATTTATTTATTTTTATTTTTTGGACCATTTTTCGAGTTATGCGTGTCATCCTTCCTTGCGCAGCGGCCATGCTAATTACCCTTCTCTGTATCGTTCCAATTTTAACAGATGTCCCGAAGGACTTTTTTAATCTTTTGGGGTGCCCAACGGCGGGTCTGTGTATTTCCAAAATGGGCTGTTTTGTTCTCTGATTGCCCTCCAATCCTTAAATTTCCTCTTGCAAATCTACCCTGATTCCAGTTGTGAGATGTAAGAAGGTAATTCTGCAAACTGCAACCTGGTCTGTTTTTGTGTTTTCGGAGTGACACGTTAGTGCCACTTCGGACTTACTTTAGCGAGCATGAATAAGGGCGTTGCCGCACGGCACACGAAACGAAAAACGAAACGAATGAATCTTCCCCCAGAAAATGGTCAGGTTCATCGGTTTGCCATAAATAGTGACGACTGTATTTTGCCACCTTTGGTGGGCAGATGCATTCGTTTCGTTTACGTTTCGATTTCGTTTCGTGTGCCGTGCGGCGAGACCCTAACAGATGCCGTGTCCTTTTTTTTTTTTCCTACGTCGGAATTATTTTGCACGGCTTCGCGGGAAATTTTGCCGCGCCAAAACGGCATTTTTTGAATTTTCAAAACGGCTCGTTTTGGCGCCATCTACCTCGGAACAATTTCCCATCCAGCGGTGCACAATTCCGAAGCAGAGAAACGGCATTAAAATTTTGAATTTTTGATGGTTCAGCTGCGTCGGAATTGTGTACTGCTGGAATTTTTTATGGGAAATTTTGGAGAGGTAGTTCGCGCCAAAACGGCATTTGAATTTTCAATTCTTGATGGCCGCGCCGTAGCTCGCGCGCATAAATGGGAATTTCCCTCCGGCTCGCTGCTTTTTGCTTGGGTGCAAGCCTGCAAGGTGTAACTGAACTCTGCTTCCTTCTTGCTCGCGCAGTCCTTCGCGCAGTCCTTCAGGCTATCTTCCCTTGTGCCTTGATTCCGTTTTCAACTGTCACCTGCCTTCCCTCAAACTCCTCCCATTCGTGATCTTCGTGCACCACTGCTTTTCCCGCGGGCCATGGGTGAACCTGGCTTGCACGACCGGGTCAAGCAGGGTGACAACTCAGCGTAGTTGGTGGGTGCGAGGCTATGGACTGCCTGAACCGATTTCTGAGTGGAGAGAGAGAGAGAGAGAGAGAGAGAGAGAGAGAGAGAGAGAGAGAGAGAGAGAGAGAGAGACAGACAGACAGACAGACAGACAGACAGACAGAGACAGACAGAATGAGAGAGACAGACAGAGTGAGAGACAGAGAGACAGACAGAGAGAGACAGAGAGAGACAGAGAGAAACAGAGAGAGAGAGACAGAGAGACAGAGAGACACAGAGA